CCCCCCCCGGAAGCCCCGACCTTCTCAGGGGAACCTGGATCCCCGCAGAGCCCGACCTTGGGTCCGGGCAGAGGTTTCTCAACGAGTGGTCAACTTGGGCCGCCCTCTGGCCCGGGCTGCTCCAGCCATCGCGTCCACCCCATCCCGAACCTCCCGGCCCAGGTGAAGGTAGCCTGTCCTCTGCTCCTCTTAGTGTGGCCCTGTTTCTCAGTGCTGCCCGCTCGATGCGACCTCGGTCACAATGTTAATTCCGCACGGCGCAGGCAGTGTCCCGTTGGTGTTGGGTAACCCACAATCCCAGGGAGGGAGGGGGCCCGAAAAAAGACTCGTGCCTTTAAGGTGTTTAAAAGGCTAACAGGAGTAGGCTGGAAACTACCCCTGGCAAGAACCTTCCAGTAGTGACTTTAGACTCTGTTATCTTAACATAGCTGCTTGGTTTTGAGGTTTGATCTGGGCTTATGGTGTGTAAAGTGCGCTTTAGCATGGCGCGGTGACAGATGGACCAGTTGGTTAAGAACTCACCCTTTTATCAAATATGAAAGCATCTTCTGCGGGGAGACCCCGGGAGTCCTCTGTCTTGGACCGCGTCTCTCCCTTTCCTGTCTCTGTAGAAGTTCCCATGCCAGCCTCGGTAGTTCTTCACGTCCCTGGACACACAGCAAGGTGGTGATTCCTCCATTTCGTTGCATGATGGAGCAGCTATTTGATCTTTGTGCTCCAGAAAAGGATAAATACCGGCTGAAGATACCACACCGCCAGCACTGCGTATTTAAAACACAATCTGGCGCGCACCTGTGGTCCCAGCTACTGCCGGGAGGCTGAGGTGGGAGGATCCCTTGAGCCCAAGAGTTAGGGGTTACATTTAGCCATGATGGGGCCACTGCACTCTAGCATGGGGACAGAGCGAGAAAAAAAGTAGTTGAAAACAGAGACTTCACCCTTTCAATATTTTTGTGCACTAATTCACATTTTGAGTAGAAGAACTGAGGATGGGTGGGAAGAGAACCAGTTTTGGTTTTCTCTTAAGACAGGGCGTCCCAGAGCAATATGAACTCTCTTTGCCTCTCTTTCAGTGGAGCATGTGACTGTGCCTCTTGTTCCTCACTCTAAACTCCAAATTGGTCATGGAAGTGAATTATCCTCAGTGGATGTCAGGTTGAGGCTGAAGTAGTTTTCACTCTACCTTCATATCTGGGTATAATGTACAAAAAGGGAATATTATACCAGGCAGACTTCCTTACAGTGGGCAGAGATTAGTGCTTGAAGCACATATACTAAAATTGGAACCATACAGAGAAGATTAGTATAATAAAGAAAATGCTGCAGACATTAGATAATGTGGTAAACATAAGTCCTCTATAAACGCTAAATAATGTAAAACCAGTATTTTCTGCCACACATCCTAGGACCACAGTGATAGCTTCAAAAATGAGAGTTTTAACTTCTGTTCCCTTAAGTATCTCATATTGACTCCATGGTGTTGTGATTCTTATTAGGTCTACCCCCAATGAGCTGGAGTATTTACTCCTGTATTCGAAGAATCATTATGTACAATTTCATTAATGTCCAGAGAAGTTGGATATGAAATTATCAGAAATATATAGGCCGGGTGCGGTGGCTCATGCCTGTAATCCTAGCACTCTGGGAGGCCGAGGCGGGAGGATTGCTTGAGCTCAAGAGTTCGAGACCAGCCTGAGCAAGAGCAAGACCCCGTCTCTACTAAAAAAATAGAAAGAAATTGTCCAAACAACTGAAAATA